TTTTCATCCTCAGACTGATGGGCAATCAGAGAGAACTATTCAGATATTGGAAGATATGCTGAGAGCATGCGTAATGGAATTTAAAGGATCATGGGAAAAGTATTTACCGCTGGCAGAGTTCGCTTACAAAAATAGTTATCAGTCTAGTATAAAGATGGCCCCCTATGAAGCATTATATGGAAGAAAATGTCGTACTCCATTAAATTGGTATGAACTCAAAGACCGAAGTGTTCTTGGTCCGGATTTAATTCAAGATGTAGAACAGAAAGTTCGAGAAATTCAGTATAACCTCAAAGTGGCCTCTGATCGGCAAAAGTCCTATTCTGATCTTAAAAGGAAAGAAATTAATTTCAAGTTGGAGATAAAGTGTTTTTAAAAGTGTCTCCATGGAAGAAAGTGTTGAGATTTGGTCAAAAAGGAAAATTGAGTCCTCGGTTTATTGGACCATATGAGATTGTAAAGAGAGTAGGACCGGTAGCATATCAGCTAGCTTTACCACCTGAGATGGAAAAGATACATGATGTTTTTCACGTTTCAATGCTTCGAAGATATAGATCTGACCCTTCTCATATCGTGTCACCAGAAGAGATTGAGGTTCGTCCTGACTTGACTTATGAGGAAGAACCGATTCAAATTTTAGCACATGAAGTTAAGCAATTGAGGAACAAGATTATTCCTTTGGTCAAAGTATTGTGGAGAAATCACAAAGTAGAAGAAGCAACATGGGAGCGTGAAGAAGATATGCGACATCAATACCCACATTTGTTTGTGCAATGAAAATTCGAGGACGAATTTTCTTAAGGGGGAGAGATTTGTAACATCCTCCATGTCGGGTGAGTGATTAATTTGCAAAGTTTCAACATTTGATGATTAAAGTAGAATAATTATATAGTTTAAAAACTATGGTTAGTAAATATGAGATGGAGGTAGGGACCAAATGGTCATTTGTAAGGAAAATTTTAAAAAAATATGTTATGGGATATATGAGAACCCACGTGGAGTATTAGGTTCCAGAATACTCTCATTCCTTCTTTCTTATTTCTTCTCTTCCTTCTCCAAACGTGGGCTTGCAATTAAAGGTAAGAATCTGAACCTTGGTAGTTTCTTTGATTTTTAAGATTGGAAATGAAAGCTTGGATGTTATATAAGCTAAAGGAAAGCTTATATGACATTAAAACAACAAGATAAGTGATTTAGAGAATGATTTGGAAAATGAGTTTTTAGATGAAATTTTGATAGGAATGAGTTTTTGAAGTTTGAATAAGATTTTTGACTTGTCAAGAAGCTAACTAAGAAGTATGAGGTGTTAGAATTCAAATTAGAACATATTGGAATTTGGGTTGGATTCTTAAATTCTACATGGAGAATTAGATTTCTAGGTTTTAGAGGTATTTAATGGATAATAATCAGTTTAAGTAAGTGTATGAGAGCTAAGAGTAGTAAAGGGATTGAAATATGTATGTTTGAGCTGAAATGGGATGATTTCCGAGCTCAAATTAGGATTTCTGGGTTAGGGGAATCGGTACCCATTCAAGGGGAACCGATACCCCCTCAACGAAATGAATTTCTAGAATGCTAGAGGGGAATCGGTACCCCCAGGGGGGAACCGATACCCCCTCATCGTATATGAAATTCCAGATTGCTTGAGGGGAATCGATACCCCCAGGGGGGGAACCGATTCCCCCATGAGAAAAAGAAGAAGAAAGAAAAGAAAGCAAGACTAAGCTATAAATTCTTTAAATTAATAAGCTATTAAAGCTTAATTTCAAGACATAGACGTCTGATGATCATCTTAAAAATTATGTTTATGTAGATACCGAGCCTACTCGAGTTCGGGAACAATCTACAAGTAGGATCGATCGAGGAAAAGGCAAAGAAGTATAGGTGAGTGCATATGCATAGCATGAATATAGTATTATATTCAGTTCTAGACTTGTGATAAGTCTAGATTCCATATTTTGACATATGATCACATTCCATATTATGATACATGACATGAATTTATATTATGTGTATTGCATGACATGAATATGCAGAAAAAGTTATATGAGCTATGTGATAAAGGTATGTAAATGATATGTCTATGTGATAAGGTATGGAAATAATATGACTACGCGATATGAACTACGGGAAATGTATAAGCCCATGTTATGTAGATGAGAACTATAGGTATAGTTGGCATGCCAAGGTAGAGGGTATACTCGGTTCTTTAGGACATATGTATATCCTTTGGAACCTGTGTGAAGTCTTGAAGACACATACTTGATCCATAGTATATGTATATGATTCTTAAGGAATTCTACGTGGTCCTTATGGACATAATTCTACGGGCACTTCGGTGCAATTCTACGGGGCACTTCGGTGCATTTATACGAGCTGTGGTGACAGCATAGTGCACAACCTCACATTACTCAAATACCTTAGGTTCTCAATATGCTATCATGGGCCAATAAACTTATTAATACAGAATAATGAATGTTACAGTACTACGCTTACAGGTATGGATATTGATGAAGTATACTACATTGATTAAGTACATGTTTGCATCTCATCTCATATGATCCTGACATTTTCATTACATTACATTGCCTTGTTATTATTAATGCCTCACTAAGTCGATGACTTAGCGTGTGAGTGTTTCACACGTAGGATCCGAGGAATTTAGACGAGACAGGTGAAGCAGCTTGACAGTATTACTCCTGCAACCATCAGATCAGAAGCAACTTAATCAGTAGGTCATTTTGTGATGTAAATAGCAGTTGGCATGTAATTAAAGGGTTAAGTTGTGTATGCTCTGAATATTTTGGTAAACTTATATTACAGTATGTATATTATTGTATTTTCTTAATACAAGTACAAATATTTTACTATTATTTATTAAGAGTTGTGTTTTAAAGTCAATGTAGTATCTCTGACTCATATCCGGGTCGGGTATGGGTTGGGGGTGTTACAGAAAACATGGTTCAAGAAATGTGGACGATTGAGCTGATATTTTGAGAGATGGAGGATAAGCCATGTGTGTTTGTTTGGAGGCTTCGGGATTTGATTATTTATTTTATTTATTATAAGATTACAATTTGATTTCAAGTGAAATTCTAGTTATCTATCTCAGTTTGAATCTTAAATTAACAGAATATTTTGGTTAATATTGCGTAGTCATCTATCTAATTTTGATTTTAAATTGATAGAACATTTGAAAAGTTTTGATATTCTTAATTCGAAATTTATAAGTTTAACTAAATTTAATCTCATTTTTTGTTAATCTTTGATTATTGATTTTTTAATTTTGTCAATAATATAACTTACTAATTTAAAGTAGATAAATTAAATTAATTATTACTAACATTTGATGAAAGATTTGACGTGATAGTTAATAAAAATTAATACGATCATACATTTGGTTTTAGTTACATATATATTTAAAGAAATTTTGATTGGGTTGAGAGAGATTAAACATGAGTCTTGGAAAGGAGGTTGAGCGAGTCAAATCGTTGAATCAATCCACTAAATCTTAAATTAATTTTAATTTTATATTAATTATAGTTTAAAATATTCATAAAATTTATATAATTAAATTAATTATTATATTTGACTCATTATTTAAGTGTACTCATACTCTCTAAATAATTAAAATATAAGATGTAAAATTAATATAAAATTAACTATAATATATATAGGGGTACTTAACGAGTTGAGCAGTTCGAACTAGATTCAGTCAAAACTCGGTAAACGTTCAACTCAAACTCGATTCGAGACCTTAGTAAGCTGAGCCGAGAAAAGTCTAACTCGACTCGATAAGTTCTCAAACAACTCGTTAATTTTAAAAAAATATATTTTTAGTAATTACATCAAAATTATTTCATTCAAAAAATAAATCTAAATAATAATTATTAATTTATTAATAAATAATAAAAAATAAGTTAACTAATCTATTATTTTTTTAATAAATAATAAAATATTATTAGTAATTTTTTTTAGTTAAAAAATAAGGTAATTTTTTTAGTGAGCTTAACGAGCAACGAATCAAGCTTAACGAGAAACAGATCAAGTTGAGTAGTAAATTTTTTTAATGAGCACGAGTTGTGCACAATTTTAACGAGTTTAATGAGCAACGAGTCGAGTCGAGCAGCAAAATTTTTTAACGAGCACGAATTGAGCACTGCCAGCTCGCAATCGGCTCGTTCGATAAGAACCCCTATATATATATAATGTTATAATCTAAATCTTAAATATAGGGTTTAGCCCTTAATTTAACGTGTCCAATCCTTCCTCTAAAACCCAGATTTGATCTTCCTTAATTTCATTCCTTTTCAATTTATTTTCTTGACTCTAGTTTACTCTAGAATTTAATATGCATAATGTCATAAAAAAGTTTCTAACATTTGGATAAATAGTTATTTTGGTTTCTATTTTTTTAGATCATTTTGGCTTTTAACGTTTTATTTTGCGACAAAAAAATCCCTATATGAGTGGAAACCGTTAGTTAAGAAACGTTTAATACTCCAAAATAGAAGTTTTTTTATCCTAAAATGAAACGTTGAGAACTAAAGTGTTCCAAAAAAAAGGGCAAAATGACTATTTGATCAAAAGTTAGGGGTCATTTTACCCTAAAATGTAATGTTGATAGGTCAAAATACTTTAATAAAGAAAAAAAGAATCAAAATGATCAATTTAATAAATATTGAGAGCTAATTTTGGTATTATGCCAATTTAATATAGACAGGGAGTAACACTGACAAGGCAGCCAAAAGAACGGCGGCTATAAATTTTAGCGGGAATAACACACTTGTTAACGGTTATAAGCACTTGCAATTTGATACCCACGTGGCCAAATAATAAAATGCCACGTACGACTCTCCTATGCTTGTGTGAATTATTCATGAAAAATAAGTATAAAAGAAGCATGAAAATGGAATTGGATTCTATAATAATGGAAATGGAACCATAAACGTTAAAAGATATTCTCAAGGTTTGCTCTTATCACTTTCCACCTCTCTCATTCATCGGTAAAACTTCTTCCTCTTCTTTTCTTGCACTAAATCCCAAGTGCTCATCAATCCATTGATTTTGAGCAATTTTCTTTTCCTTCAAATTTGAATAAAAATGCCTAAACAGGAAAATTGGATTGGTAACGCTCCAGTTCGACCTCGATCTCGATTTAGTATATTACGTGTTTGGATACTTTTCTTGGTGAATTCGTTTTTTTAAGTAATATTCTTTAACTTTGTCTTTGATGGTGTGACTTGTTTGTGATTGTTTTGAATTTTGGATTTGCATTTAATAATGGTGTTTTCTTCTTGCCTTTTCATTGCTCGTTATTGCAATTATTATGGAATTCGGCCAAGGTGTTTAAAAAAATTGCTTTGCGTTTGTTGATTTTGTCAGAATAGAAAACATTAGAGCTAAAGGGTCTTCGTTTTCCATCTTTGAAAAATTTGATTAATTTGTTCACGTGCTTCAGTTATTAAGATTAGCATATAACGAATTCTGGGATGCTAGAAAACTATATATATATATATATATTTCATTTGGTTCAATTTTTTGATATTGTTTTACAGATTGTTTAGAGTTTAGACTGGGAAACTTATAATGATTATGTTTCTCTCAAATTCCATATGTACCAAATCCATTTTATGTTCGAACTTATGCATGATTTTTAACGCAGACATTCCCGGAGATGGGAGATGTTTGTTCCGCTCAGTAATTCACGGCGCTTGGCTGAGGTCAGGGAAGCAGTCTCCGACTGAGAGCCGCCAGAAGGGTCTTGCTGATGAACTCAGAGCGAAAGTACATTTCTATTCTATTTTTCACAGTGTCTTCTTCCATTTAACATCGAAGCATCATTTGGTTCTTAGTTGTACTCACTGCCGAATTTGATTTATCTGCAACTCGGATCGATTTAGCTGCATTTGTTTTTTATGCAACCTGTTTTCATTGTGTTAGCTGAAGATGTCTTTCTGCTTTAACTTTTGCATTTACACTCAATAAAAGATTACATTTCATGATAGGTTGTTGATGAATTCATCAAGAGGCGGGCTGACACCGAATGGTAAGCATTTTTTCTTTGCAAATAAATCTTTGTTGCCACTACTGGGGCACCACAAACAAGTAAATCTTTAAACTTTCTGCAGGTTCCTCGAGGGTGATTTCGACAACTATGTCGTGCAGATGCGGCAACCTCATATTTGGGGAGGAGAACCCGAGCTGCTCATGTGCTCACATGTCCTACAGTGAGTTTTTCCTTTCTTGCTCAAATGAAACATTTTTGCTATCAATATATCAAAATTTTCTCATCTGTCATTTAAATATTTCACACACAGGGCCCCTATAACAGTTTACATGAAGGATAAGAATTCTGGTACCCTCAAAATTATATCCGAGTACGGTCAGGAATACGGTGAGGAGAACCCCATCCGAGTTCTGTATCACAGTTATGGACACTATGATGTACTGATGAGTCCAGTAAGCAGCGCCTCTTCTAAACTGTAAGATATCTTGCTTCACTTGCTTTATACTGGTTTTTCATCTTTCATTAGTACCTGAATATGAATGAAGCATACGATCATATACTCCAATCATTGAAATTAGAAATAGGTTCAACCCGAAGCTTAATTTAGTTCGTTTATGCAGTAATTCTTAAGAAACAGTATTCGGCAGGTCTACGGTAATGAACACTGATAGTAGTCTTCTTGCTGGCTTTGGCGGGTGGAAGAAAAGATGACTTGTGGATAATTGCACTGTCAAATGGGTGATGCCAGGAGTTATGAACCCTGAATAATCTTATATGAAATGGTCTCTTGTAAATTTGACCATGTGATTTAGATTAATGGTCCATGACCTTACAAATGAACCCTTAAATATCATATAACATGTGAAGAAGATTTTAAGGTATCTTTGCAATCTTCTTCCCTTTTACTAACAACCGTCCAATAGGCGATACGGATTAGTAGTCCGTAACATATGTAGGATGATTTGAAGGAAAATACTAATTTTTTCTCATCTCCAACAAAACTCAAAAGCTTAATAAACCGGCCTATGAAAACATGCATATATATACAAAAACATGTTTGGTGAGAGTACAGGGGGAGAGAAAAGAAACATTGCTACTCACCATCCTTCCATATCTCTCGGATTAGCTCATATCTAACAACTTTCCGGCCTCCCTTTCCCGTTCTCATCCAATTGGGTTCTTTTGAAGTGGGAGAGCCGCGGGGTTTCTCGATCATGATTGAGGTAATGGGTGAATCCAATTCATTGAGCTCATCATCACTAGTGTATGATTTTCTAAGCACCAATGACCGACTCCTTTCCATGGCTTGACTTCCTGTAATGTCTGTTAGGGAATTCGTGGAAGGTAGCGAATAGACTATAGGAGTAGCCATACATGGGAAGTTTGTAACAGAATCTTCCCCGGCCTTGGAAAGGTCCTGAATGAGAAGAAAAAGATCAATCTAGGAAAATGAAAACTGAGTGCCATAAACTTGTAACTTTGCAGAGTGATGAATGACATTGAAAAGTTGCACACACAAAAAAAAGTATCTTGTTTTATGAAAAACCTCCTCCAATGCTTCAAAAACTGCCAGTGAAACTGGATTCGGGTTGAACTCGTCGGGTACAAACTTGTTAAGAACTCTGATGATCAGGGGGGCATTGAACTTGGGGCATACCTTCAGCATTAAAATTCGGAGGGAAGATAAGGTATAATAGAACACACACACACACACACACATATATATATATATATTATTGCTTATGGAAATTAAAGTTAACGTTTTAATAATTTCAGAACTATACCTCTTTCCTTGTGGACCTATCCACAAGCATCTCGAATGGAAGCATCATGTGATCACTCAATGCATTTAGGAGGCATAAAGACTTGAAGGAACCGTCACATACAGCATTTTTGCAGTCGCCTACTTCATTGCTATCTTCAGGACTCTCATTGTCATCAATACCAAACAGATCTGTTAGCCATCTTGACCAGTTCCCAATCTGGTAACACAAGGCTAGAAATTTAATAAACGTCTATGTTCTCATGTCATTTTTCAAGCAACTTCACTGAAGGCAATTTCAAACCCTAATCTCAATCTTTTATTATCTGTTGACATAACATCAAGGAGGCAATTAAGTATTAAAGTAGCTACATAGAAAGAATTCCATTACTCACAGCATTTTTTAGTTGTACACCTACCCCAAAGCTTGATTTTCCTGCCAGAATAGGAAGAACCTTGGAATCGCTTGATCGGAGATGGGATCCATTGGCATTTCATCAGCTGATTCACGAAGAATAGCATTGAACATTGCAACATCTAATCTACTCACCAATTGCTCCACTACCTAATAATGGAACAGTCGAAAATGTTTCTATCAAGTTTACATTTCAACAGCATTATCAATTAGATAAATAAAATCATAAGAAACAAGGACACGGTCACTGTGCATATGTGAAAACAAACTGTATAGCATATCATAATACCAATTTAGCCAGCACAGCTAAGCAGCCGCACTCGTGCCCACATGCTCGAAGTGGACAAAGCCTTTCACAGGCATCTTTAAAAGCCTTCTTCCAAAGCTCAACTGAAAAGTTCACCTGCTCTTGATCACCTAATCCATGTCCTCGGCCTGAGGCTTTCCTTGAGCTTGAGCTCTTTGCAGCAGCAGACTGCATATATGGAGTCAAAGTCTGGAAAGTATATAGAGGGAAATATTGTCAGGTATGACCTCAGAAGATATAATGATGTGAGCTTAAAGAAAGGATTGACCTGCCACCAGACAAATTCGATTATTCTGGAGAAGATCCAAGCTTCAAACTTTTGCAATGCAAGTAAAAATGCCTGAGGATCCACCCAGTCATCCGAATTTTCTGAACATAGCTGCATGTCCTTAATAGTGTGGCTTACAGTTGCTCTCAATACAATTGTATTTGATAACCAGAAGGTTAACCTATTAAAATGGTAAAGAATGAATATCAGGTTAAAGGGAAAAGAGAGAAGCATTACACCACAGATTACTAATTTTTATTTGTACAGCATGTAAACCAAATTAACATCTTTGACAAAAGAAAAGGAAGAATATAAAATTTCCCAGATTCATTTTCTAAAAAGAAAAAATTTACGGAAACTGTTAGTGCACACCTTGGAACATCATTTCCACATGCTTTGGAGATCAAAATCAATCCTGAAATAGCAGCCCTTGCTGCACTTGCCCTCTTATCTTTGGTATTTGCTCTACAAGCATGAAGATAGAATCTAGAAAGTCGTCTAGCTGGAGCATGAACCTTGTTTGTAGAACTTCCATGCTCTGCAACAACAGAATAAAGACTAGCCTCGAGAACTGCAGCTTCTCTTAATTCTTCTTCAAGCATTTCAAGTTTGGAGTAAAGTTCAACTTTGCTGTTGGAAAAGTTCTTTGCATTTTCTTTGCTTTCATTACATGTATCACTTATATAACTGTTACGAATCTTTTCAGAAATATCATTTTCCTTTGCCTTCTCCTTGACCTGATTTTTCTTTAGCAGCCCATGATTGTTTCCTGTGTCAACTTTGCTGTTAGAAAAGCTGTTTGTGACTTCTTCCCTTTCACCAAGTATGTCAGTTGTGGTACCATTAGAAGTCTTATCAAGGATAGGGTTCTCCTTCACCTTCTCCATGAACTGGATCTTTGACGGTCCATTGCTCTTAGCTTTGTTAACATGTAACTGAACAGGTGTCACACGCTTTTGTCTATTATTCGCAAGGAAACCACCTTTCAGTTCAGTTGTTTCCCTACTGGATGCAAAAGTGTTACTCCTCAATGCGATTTCCTTTCTCGGAGAATCTTGTGGTGGTCTAAAACCTAACCTGTCCTGCAGAGAATATTCCTCGGGACCCAAAATCTGGCTATCCAGCTCATCTTCCCACGATGACTTTTCAGCGTTTTCCCCCCAGTGACGAACACGTGAATTGCTACTTAAATATCTGTCTACATGGCTTTGGTCATGTCTCCTGGCTTTTCTAGCCTCCTCTGTCTTTCTTTGGAAGTCTTCATCCTTTACATTATCTGAGTTCATATCTACTGGAATGGTAACACTGGCCTTTGAGGATGAAACTTTACCCGTGGGACGAGTTAAAGGATTATTGGGATTGGAGGACAAGTGCAAAGAAGATGAAGGAGATGTATTCCCATTCAATTGCTTGAATACTTCAACCAATGTACTTACCCCTGAGTTTGCACCTGTTCCAGCAGAAGGAAAAGCGAGTCCAGGCCTTTCTATCCCGCCATTCACTGGTTCTGATCCAATCTGTAGCCAATGGTGACTTGCAATTAAACATTCAGAAATATATACTTTGATAGGTTGATGACAGTCATCAAATTAACCGGACACTACAACAGCCCTATAATAGAATCATGCTCGTACATACAAACTTCAAACCAGTGTCTGTCCAAAGCTAACACATAGACTCTTATAAAGGTTAAAGAAGGATTGTAATTCATACCTACAAATTAACCACAATAACAATAATTTTTGCTCATCTTATTGCTCTTAGTGATTTTCAGGTCAGGGTATGGCCTAATTGCCAGCATTATTCAGAACGATGCATATGACAGTAAAAGTAATTTCAAATAACAACAGCATAATACAGGATTATCAAAGCATAATTGTTTCTTATACGCATGAAAACTTTACTTATGGCAATGCTTCAAGAACCCTTGAGTCTGCCAAGACAATTTCAGATATCTTAAAGCCAACTCAATTTAGAACCTCTAATTCAAGGACATTATAGAGACAATTCAATGTGAATGGAAACAAATACCAAAAGGAGAGCAATTAACATAAATACCTTGTCATGTTGATTATGTGACTCCCGAGAAGGATAAAAAACAGGAGAAGAAACAGTCTGAGATGAATGTGGCGAAAGATCATCATCATCAGTTAAAGAGGCAATCTCGGCTTCTTCATTTAGCGATTCGGAAACAGAGTCACTCCCATCCTTATCAAGTGACAATCCTTTTGGCAAGCTGCCTCTCGTTGATGAGCTGGAGCTACCTTTATCAAAGGGTTGGATATTAAGATTAAGAACAGGCTGTTCTGGGATTCCGGTCTTTGAACTCTTCTTCAAGTTAATAGGAGTGGCAACACTTATAGTTTCCCTGATAATCCCATAATCAGCAAGGTTTACAACAGCAGATCCTAAAAGTTGACCCTTTGCATTTTTGTCCTTTCGAGGCTCATATAAATAAAACTCCAAACAGTTCTTCTGGAAACCATCACGGTTGGTGCTCTTATGAGATGATTCCAGAGACAAAGTTACTGGAAGCCTGAAAGACTCACCGAACTCGATTTTTCCATTCCCATTACAATAAACCAAGGACCCGGAATTCTTATCACCATTTTCCCATCGAAGCAATATAGATTGAGGCGATGGCAAAGACTGCAATGGTGTCCAAGGACTAATTTCCTTAACACATACAATGTAATGAAGCTGATACGAGTCGCCTTTTCTCTTCTTAGTTCTTAAGCCAAGAACCATTGTTCGAACTCTGAATAAATAACCGATTTCACATCCGAATTCCGATCAATCAAAATGGCTTCATGTGCATGAAAACCATACATTAAATATCTCCATTGGGGGGGGGGACAAAATTCAGAAACAGTATATGTTGAAAGAGATTGAACAGAAATTACAAATGCAAATGAAGAAGAGAGAGAGACTTTACCAAGAAAACTAAAAATAAAGGAATCAAACTGAAAACAGAACGTGGGTTCATGTATATAATTCTTAGCAACATATACTTAATTCATCAACCTTCACGTAATTCCATTTGTTTAATATCTTGAAGTAAAAAAAAAAAAGTCCTTTATCGAACTAAAACAACTACTCTATATAAATCTCAAGAGGTCCTCCACCACTAATTAGCTGATGTAATAAATATAAAGTTAGAATAAATAAAAACACAAGTTATCAACAACCAATCAGCCTATACTCAACTAAAACCAGAGTCAAATACATAAAAATTAAGCCCTACATCAAACCAACGAAAAAGAGAATTGATTAAACAAAAAAAATGAACAATCAGTCTATGAATCAGATAGACAAAATGCAAGCAACCCATTTCATGCAAGCATCATTAAAGCAAAAAAAAAAGAAAGAAAAAAGCTTACCGTGAACATCGGATCAAGAGAAAGAGAAAATCAGATAAAAAGGGCAAGCGAAACGA